CTTTCCCTCCCTACCCCACATCACTTTATCAAATTCAAATAACACAGAATCCATAAGGTGAATCTTCAGGTTCTAAATAACCCGAGTCTACAATGACTCAATTACCAATAGCATTTCCATCCAAGTAGAAGGAAACTGATACTTCTATACAGTCAATCCAGATACCAAACTCATTTTGAATGTTCTTAAAACAAGGATGATAAATTGGTGCACGCTGCATCATGCAGTGTGCAGTATAACTACACGCAGAACCCCTCTTCTTGAGAGTGGAGAACAATCTGTAACATTCAGGTTTCAAATGAACAGAAGCCTCCTCTGTTCTTTCAGAACTTTTTGTTGGATAAATAGGAAAAAATGTTTCTGGCTTTACTCTGAAAAAGTACTGATTTAAATCAAATTGAATTAATTTTAAAGAGTTTTCCATTTTTTTTTTAAAAGAGATTATTGCTATAGAGCAAATGAACTCACCAGAGAGACAGAAAGTGAGAAATCACCCCCCAGAGTGGATGACCATGCCGCAATCCCTTCTCTTCCATTCTCCTTTCAGGATCTTGGGCACGCACGCACACGCGCTGGGCGTGAGTTGTAAGCCACCAGGTCCGGGACTCGAACTGTGGTCAACTACATGGAAGACCAGCAAAATAACCATTACACTATCTGCTGGTCCCCTCAAAACAATATTCTTAAAAACAATATGGGCACCAGCAGATGGCATGTTGGTTAAGGCACTGGACTCCCACATGACCAACACAATTCAAGTCCTGGACCTGGTGGCTTGCTTTCTCACTTTCCCCTTCTCTCTCTCTCTCTCTCTGTCTTTCTCTGGTGAGCGCATATGCGCTATAACAAATTAAAAATAGTAATAATGATAAATAAAATGAAAATGAAAAAGAATATATATTGGACCAGCAGGTGGTATGCTGGTGAAGGTGCCAGACTTCCACTTGGCTGACTGCACAGCTGGGAGTCCCAGATCTGGCAACTTACTTTCTGGCTTCCTCTCTCACTTGCTCTCTCTCATGAGTGCACATGCCCTGCAAATTAAAAAATAATAACTATGGGACAAGCAAATGATATAATGGCTGTCACTGAACTCCCACATGGCCAACCATGGTTTGAATTCTAGATCCAGTGGCTTGAAACTCACCCAGGCTCATGTGTGTGCATGCCCAAAATCCCAAGAGGAGAATGGAGGAGAAGGGATTGCCATCCCCACTGGAGGCTGGTTTCTCACTTTCCCTTTCTCTCTCTCTCTCTCTCTTTTTCTGGCAAGCACACACACCCTGTAGCAAAAATCTAGTGATTATGTCACTAGACTCCCATATGACTGACCACAGTTCAAGTTCTGGGCCTGGTAGCTTGAAACTCACACCAGATGCATATGTGTGCATGCCCAAAATCCCAAGAGGAGAATGGAGGAGAAGGGATTGCAGCGTGACCATCCCCCCAAGGAGTGATTTCTCACTTTCTGTCTCTCTGTCTCTGTCTTTGGGGCAAGCGCGCATGCCCTATAGCAAAAAGTTCTCAAAAAAAAAAAAAAAAAAAAAAAAAAAAAAAAAAAAAAAAATTTAAAGAAAATTAAATAATTATTTAAAAAATATTTGCCATGGATCTGTACATAGGAAGATTACAGAATAGTTGCTTTTGAGGATGTGAAAAGACTAGTGGTAATAATTAATGTTTAAAAAAAGGTGGTGAGGAAGATGGAGGGTTTTGTGAGCATATCTAATGATGGTTAATTCTGGGTGATGGGAATACAGCAGAGCAGGGGCTGGCAAACTAAGGTCTGTGGGCCATGTCGAGCCAGCCAATTGTCTCTGCACACCCGGTCTTACCCGGACCCAGCCATGCCCACTCGTTCACACACTGTACTGTCCGTGCTGCAGTGGCAGACACAGACAGCCGGGTCTACAGATGCATCAGGGGACCACATGGTCCACAAGGTCTAAAATACTTACTACACAGACCTTTACAGAAAAAGTCTGCTGATTTTTGCAAATTCTCTTCTTTGTACTTTCTTGTATTTGTCGCCTTCCCTCCAAATTTAAGACTATTTAAATAACTTGACAGATTCATACTGAAGTCCTCAGAGAAATAAAGAAAAAATTCTAAAACTGTACGGTTATTTTTCACATCACAAGAGCACTACATAATTTATGATTATACTTTTTATAGACTAAACTGAAAATATTAATTAGAGCTATCCTGTAACAGACTGGTTACTGTAACACGTGGCTGATGAATTACAGCAATACTCCACGTGAGGGAAACATATATAGGGCAGTCACATTAAATACGAGGCAAATGTTCCTGAAAACCCCAAATACTTAAAAATGAGCACAACTGAAGACGTAACTGTCCCACATACGTACAGGAAGGACGCATTCTATGAGTACATAAATCTAAAACCAATACAGACTGTTTTTATAGACATATGCTAGTACTTATTAATATAAAACTTAATGTATTAATACCCTAATTATACAACTATGTAATTAATAATATTAATTGCACAAAATAGTTTTTTATTAATTATGTTTGGTTTTTTGTTGCTTTTTTTTTAGAGAGAGAGCTTTTTGCTATAGGACATGTGCGCTTGCCAGAGAGAGCAAGAAGGAAGCAAGAAATCACACCTCCCCCCCAAGAAAATGGCCACGCTGCAATCCCTTCTCCTCCATTCTCTTCTTGGTATCTTGGGCACGCACGCACATGCCCCCAGTGTGAGTTTCAAGCCACTGGGTCCGGGATGCGAACCACGGTCAACTACATGGGAGTCCAGCAACATAACCATTATGCCATCTGCTGGTCCCACTCCCTTGTGGTTGACCACAGTTTGAGTTCTGGACCTGGAGGTTTAAACTCACTCTAGGCACATGTGCATGTATGCCCAAGGAGAATGGAGAAGGGACTGAGGCGTGGCCATTCCCACATGGGGTGATTTCTCGCTTCCTGTCTCTCTGGCAAGTGCACGTGCCCCATAGCAAAAAGATCTCAAAAAAAAAAAAATGTAATTGGGACCAGCAGTTGGCATATTGGCTATGTTGCTGGACTCCCACGTAGTCGACCACAGTTCGAGTCCTGGGCCTGGTGGCTTAAACTCACGCTGGGCGCATGTGAGTGCATGCCCAAGATCCCGAGAGGAGAACGGAGAAGGGATTGCGGCGTGGTCATCCCCCCTGGAAGGGGATTTCTCACTTCCTCTCTCTCTCTGTCTCTTTCTGGCAAATGCATGCGCCCTATAGAAAAAACCTCTCAAAAAAATATGTAATTTAAAAATATAATTTAGTGCCTAATACACAATACACAAATGTATACCAAATTAATGACTTTTTAAAAGTTTTGTTATAGAGCACATGCACTCACTGAAGAGAGGGAGAGAGGGAAAGTCCTTCTCAGGATTTCAGGCACTCACACACATGTGCCCAGCATATTTTCCAAGCCGCCAGGATTGGGACTTGAAATGCACGCTAAGACATGTGGAATCTAGACGTCTTAACCACCATGCCACCCTGCTGGCCTCACTTTAGTAACAACTTATATGGGGACCAGCAGTTAGCGTGATGGCTATGTCGCTGGACTCCCATGTAGTCGACCATGGTTCACATCCCAGACCAGCTGGCTTAAACTCACGCTGGGTGTGTGTGCGCGCATGCCCAGGATCCCGAGAGGAGTGTGGAGGAGAAGGGATTGTGGTGTGGCCATCCCCCCCAGGGAGTGATTTTTCACTTTCTGTCTCTCTGTCTGTCTCTGTCTGGCGAGTGCACGTGCCCTATAGCAAAAACCTCTTCCCCTCAAAAAACAACACAACAACAACAATAAATATGGTATACTGCCTGAAAATAATTAAATAAAAACTATTACCGGGATCAGCAGTTGGCGTAATGACTATGTTGCTGGACTCCCATGTAGTTGACTGCGGTTTGAGTCCCAGACCCAGTGGCTTAAACTCACACCAGGTGCGTGTGCGTGCATGCCCAAGATCCCAAAAGGAGAATGGAGGAGAAAGGATTGAGGTGTGGCCATCCCCCCCCGCCGGGGGGTAATTTCTCGCTTTCTGTCTGTCTCTCTCTTTCTGGCGAGCACACACACCCTATAGCAAAAACCTCTCCAAAAACAAACTATTATGGTCACCTTCCAACAACACAATGGGACAATTAAAAAATACTAAATTAGGACAAGCTGTCTCTCTACATTATGGTGGACGCTGCTGGTCTGATTCCCTGGAAGGCTTCTGCTAAAGAATCCATCTCACACAGTTTCAGTTTTTTGTTTTTTGTTTTTTGGTTTTTTTTTTTGAGAGGTTTTTTTTTTTTTCGCTACAGGGCGCGTGCGCTCGCCAGACAGACAGAGACATAGAGACAGAAAGCGAGAAATCACCCCCCAGGGGGGATGGTCACGCCGCAATCCCTTCTCTTCCATTCTCCTCTCGGGATCTTGGGCACGCACGCACACGCGCCTGGCGTGAGATTTAAGCCACCAGGTCCGAGACGCGAACCGCGGTCGACTACGTGGGAGTCCAGCGACATAGCCATTACGCTAACTGCTGGTTCCCACAGTTTCAGTTTTTTATCTTGTTTTTTTCCACCGGGGATTTCGTGGCACAAGAAATTTTCCATCATGCCTTGCCATCACAGAACAGCAATCCATGTTTGGATCACCTCCTTCAAAAACAGCAATTGCACACCGGTCACCTCTCAGCCAGCTGGGCCAAAGGCCCAGGCTAGTGGCTGCCCTTCCTCCCGCTGCCTTGTGACTCTAATTATGAGCAGTCTTCTGTTAATCCTTCGCGGGACACCCCAACAAGTTCTCCACAGCCCTGCACAGCTCTGCGCAGACTCACCGGCCTCCGGCACCCCTTCCACAGGTGCCGCGTTAGCAAGTGCAGGCTGCCTTCCATGTCGAAGCCTCTGTAAGTTATGGTCGGGCTGCGGTGTTTTGGTGACTTCGCAGTTACCAGATAGAGCATGCCTGCTTCTTTTATACATTCTTAAAACCTTGGTGGGCTTTAAAATTGGAAAGCCGCTCTGACTCGCAATAAACCTTGTCTCACTGTCAGCTCCTGTGAGCTCATCAAAATGATTTCATGCCTCAACACAGACACCAGCTGGCCTCTGGGTGCATGACGGCAGCCGGATCCTGCAGCCCTCGTACCAGGACTTCTCCTTTATTCCAGTAGCTTCACCTGGTTATAAGATATTTGTCATGAACTAAGGGGTGTGGGTGTCCCTGCTTTAATGCTGCTTTCGGTATCTGAAGCACTGCCTCTCATGTCCTGCCAGGGACACTCTCTTAAATCCACAAGATGAGCGACAGCACAGCAGTGGCTGGGTCACCTTCAGAGATTTTCACCACACCTAATTTTACTTTTGTTCCCAAGTGAGTCAGTTTGGGGGACATTTTTACCCCAGCACACCACTTCACGAACGGCTGAGTGACACTGTAACGTAACGTAACAAAGATTTTTAACGATACCAAGAGCAAATGTTAAGGTAACAGCACAACAGCTACCAAAACCCACTCAGAGCTGACCCGGTGCCACGTGACACTGACGACGGTCGGAGGGAACTATGTTCTTCTGCACATGGATCCTGTCAATTAGGCCACTCCGGGCTTTGACCAGAGAACATCAGTCACATGTGTCAGGCTGGCATGCATTAGGCTTAGAGAGTCTGCTCTTTATTCCGGAACAGTCTGTGATCCTTTCGGCCCGCCAGATCTAAAGTGAGCATTTCTTGAAAAATACTTCATGTGGGGAAGTTTCACAATAGTTCTAATTTGAGACAAAGAGAGTTTAAATTTACTCTCACTATGCACTATGCTCAGCTGCACGCAATTCAACCACACTGTACCACACTACACTTTGAAAAGACTTTCTCGTCTAAAAGAAAGAGACCTGAATGTATGATAGTAACAGAGAAAAGCAAGCAGCCAGATGGAATGAACAAGTATTTACAAAGAAATTAAGGAATTTGAACACAAATATAAAATAAATCAGAAATATACGCTTATTAACATTCTTGTGTCAAATCATTAAGATTAGAAACAAACATAAGGGGCCAGCAGGTGGCATGGTGGTTGGGCACTGGACTCCCACATGGCCAATTATGGTTCGAGTCCCAAACCTGGCGGCTTGATTTCTCACTTTCTCTCTCTCACTCTGTTCCTCTTTGGTCAAATTAAAATAAATAAATAAAGTTAAAATAATTATTTAAAAGAAACAAACATTAAGTTGTAAATATTTAGAAAAGTACTCAGATATATATTAGAATACAATATCTAAAATGGAAATAAACCCAAATGGCATTATTAGGAAAAATATTAACAATAAAACTTACATCTTCAATGATCTTTCCTGAATCTTTAGTAACTGCACCTGTTACAAATTAAAATGTGTGTTATTATCTCAGATATACAGAAGTAAACACTGAAACCAAAAAGTTACTATCTTTTCACTAAGGCAGGCTAGAGTCTGGACCAAAATTTCTCATAAATGGTCCAAGAAACCCTCCATCAGTAACACCAGCAGCACTTGGTAAGGCAAGGAGCCGCAGCCCCAACCCCATCCTACTGAATTATTTCTGGTGGTGAAGAAATTAAGTGTATTTAAATTATCTGCATTCTTAAAAAAAAAAAAAAAAAACCACATACCACTTCCTTTCCATCCACATCATCTCATTTAACTCACTTCCCTCAGAGAGAGGGACACGTTATCTCAGAGAAGGTAAAGAAAGGGGACCAGCAGGTAACATACTGGTAAGGTGCTTGACACCCACATGGCCAACCACAATTCGAGTCCCAGACCCGGCGGCTTGAAACTCACACTGGGCCCATGTGCATGTGTGCTCAAAATCCCAGGAGTAGAATGGAGAAGAAGGGAGCGTGGTATGGCCACGCTGGGGGAGATTTCTTGCTTCCTATCTCTCCCTCTCTCTCCTGTCTCTCCGGTGAGCACAGGTGCCCTATAGCAAAAAGCTCTCAAAAAAAAAAAAAGTAAAGAAAGATTTCATCAGCAAGACCCTCTTAGAAAGAAACTGTGTCTCAGGTCGTACCTTTTACACTGCTAGTGCTCCCCGTGGGCTGGGCAGCAGGCACTGTCGCCAAGGACACCACACTGGTTATAACTGGTGTTGTGTCTGCCCTTGAAGAAGGGTGCTCCATCAAAGCAGTTTGTGCCTTAGAAATATTTACTGATTAAAATAAACAAACAAGTAAGACCTGGCATAAACAAAAGGGTTTACACACACACACACACACACACACACACACACACACACACGTATCCATTTAACAGTGAAGATTTCAAAGAGCAAATTCAAATATCTAATTCTGTATGAGGTTGGGTTGGGTGATTCTGGTCAGATTACTTCACGGCTTAAAGAGAACCTGATTCTATAAAATTATAAATTTCAAATGACACAGTTTAACAGGTAAAAATCTAGGAAGTACTTTCAGGATTAACGGGGCTCTTATACTGGTGAATATTTTAAAGAATTATTTATTTAATTCTATTTGTTGTTGTTGTTGTTATTGTAATTTGAACAGAGAGAAAGGGAAAGGGAGAGAGCTAGCCACCAGGTCCGGAACTCAAACCTGTCAGGCATGTGGGAATCCAGCGCCTTTACCCACCATCCCTCCTGCCAGCCCTACTGGTGAATGTTAATAGAACACCTAATCACTCCAAATAAAACTTTAACACGATAGGGGCCAGGCAGTGGTGTGGTGGTCAACTTCGCAGTTGAAGTCCCAGACCCAGCGGCTTGGGAGCACAGACATGCATGCTTGTGTATGTGTGCACCCAAAATCCTGAGAAGAGGATGAAAGAAAAGGGATAGAAGCGTGGCTGTCTCCTTTGGGAGATGATTTCTTTTTCTTTTTTTTTTTTTTAAGAGAGATTTTTGCCGTAGGGCACGTGCACTTGCCGGAGAAACAACGAGACAGAAAGCAGGAAATCACCACTCCCCTGAGGAGGATGGCCACACATCACAATCTCTTCTCGTCCACTGTCCTCTCGGAATCTTGAGCATGCATGCACATGTGCCTAGTGTGAGTCTGAAGCCGCCAGGTCTAGGATTCAAACTGCAATTGACTATGTGGGAGTCCAGCGACGTAACCAGTATGCCATCTGCTGGTCCCAGGGACATGATTTCTTTTTTTTTTTTTTTGGAGAGTTTGGTTTTTTTTTTTGCTATAGGGCACGTGTGCTCGCCAGAAAGACAGAGAAACAGAAAGCGAGAAATTACCCCCCAGGGGGGATGGCCATGCAGCAATCCCTTCTCTTCCATTCTCCTCTTGGGATCTTGGGCATGCACACACACGCGCCTGGCGTGAGTTTAAGCCACCGGGTCTGGGACTCAAACCACAGTCGGCTACATAGGAGTCCAGCGACATAGCCATTACGCTAACTGCTGGTCCCCCAAGGATGTGATTTCTTACTTCCCCATCCCCATTCTCTCTCTCTCTCTGGCAAGCACACATGCCTGATAGCAAAAACTGAAAGAAAAAAATTTAACATGATAATTTTTATAAACTTATAAATGAGGGAGCTGTCCATCCAATAACACTGGTTTTCTTAATTTGCCATGTTATAGAATGAATATCCTACCCCAACCTGACTGGTCCTAGGAATTGAATGGCTGACCTAAAAGATTAGCATAAAGCATGACTAATTAAGGTGAGGCTTAGTAAGACAGCAAAGGTAGGCCAGGGCCAGACTGCAAAGTGCCAAACCACATGGATGCTGTCAGTCAGGCAGCCCGCCAGGCCCTGGTCACGGGACACGGTACCCAGCATTTTAATCTAACACTGAGAGAGTACTACTGGGGGCGCTCATCTCTTTGTCTGACCACATTAGCTGCCCTACTTGCAAAATTATTTTGTTCTTAGCCAGGAAAAACTTTGCTACCCATAAAGAACTGATCTACTTTATGTTTTCTGAAATAATTAATGTGTTCTTTTTTCCTTGGCTATAAACAAGCTCTGGATCAAATCTTATACCTGGCACAGCAACTATTAGGTTGTCGGGAAAGTCGTGCGGTATTTTTCTATTAAAAAAAAGCGTCATGACTTTCCCAGCAACGTTCCCTAATACAGTAACAGGCTGAACATCTCTCCTTTGGTCTGCCCTGACTTGCGGTCTTTAGCTCTATTTACTAACTGAGAGACAGACCTGTCTGTATACGTTAGTCACGTACAGATCTACTTCATCAATGCGGTCAGATCTAATTCTCCTATAAAACTCAGTGCTTGTACATTTATTTCTTGGTGTGTTTGATTATGAGAGTAAAAAAGCATCAGAACTTATCAGTATCTTCTCTCAAGAGCAATCTTTAGGGACTCTTAAAGGAAAATTTAAATAAATTCTCACTATTTTAATCCAGTAAAACTACGTGTTTACTATGTCATGTACAACGATGTGTACTGATTGTTTATCCTACTACTGACATAAAGATCCCATTAGCTGGGGCCAGCAGGTGGCATGGTGGTTAAGACACTAGACTGCCATATGGCTGAGACCACGGTTCAAGCCCTGGACCTGGCAGCTGGAAAATCACACCAGGTGCAAGTATATGCTTGCCCAAAATCCTAAGAGGAGAATGGAAGAGAGGGAGTTACGGTGTGGCCATCTCCCAGGGCGGGGGTGATTTCTCACTTTTCTTCTCTCTCTGGTGAGCACACATACCTTATGGCAAAAACCTTAAAAAAAAAAAAAATCCCATTAGCCAGGGCAACAGTGGCATGGAGGTTGAGGTGGCAGGATTCATATTGCTGACTGCACGGTTAGAGTCCCGGACCCAACAGCGTAAAATTCACATCAGGTGTGTGCATGTATGCCAAAAATCCTGAGAGAAGAAGGGATTACCATGTGGCCATCCCCCCCCGCCCGGGGGGGTGATTTCCCACTTTCCCTCTCTCTCTCTAACTCTGCCGGTCTCTTTCCAATGAATGCATGTACCCTATAGCAAAAGTCTTAAAAAGAAGAAAAATCTCATTAGTCAAGTTTAATTTGGGGGACTAGCAGTTAGCATAATGGTTATGTCGCTGAACTTCCATGTCGTCAACCACAGTTCGAGTCTTGGACCCAGTTGCTTAACCTCATGCATGTGCATCCGTGCCCAAGATCCCGAGAGGAAATGGAGCAGAAGGGATTGCGGCGTGGCCATCCGCGTGCCCATCTCCCCTCGGGGGTGACTTCTCGCTTTCTGTCTGTCTCTCTTTGTCTTTCTGGCGAGAACACACGCCCTATAGCAATAAAAACCTCTCCAAAAAAAAAAAAAAGAAAGTTTAATTTTACCTTTATTTTGTAAAGGCGGGTCATTCATAATTTGCTGATGACAAAACTCCAAGACACAAAATAGGTTACAGAAATGTTTGATGTTGCCTCGCCATTTTATGGACTCACTGAGCTTCCCTTGTCGTTTGCAACCATCACACTTGGCCATCTGAGAAAGAAACGTAAGACAAGACAGGCTTTAACTATAAAACAATGGGAAGGTAACATTATTCATGAACCACAGGCTATGAAACAGAATATATGAGTCAGTGAAGCCTACAAAGAGTAAAGTTCCTACCTGAAAACTCTGTGGTTAAACACAGGTTTGGTAACTGGACAGCGGCACGGCAGTAAAACACGTAGCTCTGCACGGCTGCCCACATGAGAAGGCTCTAGGTGAGTGCCAGACACCTCTCTGAAGACACCGGCACCTGCGTGCCTGTCATCTGGGGGCTGGCTGGGGTGAATCACAGCCATATCTGTCTGTGTGTCTGTCTCTCATTCATGCAAAAATGTGTGTATGTGTATGTATGTGTGCATGTGTACGTACGCATATGTGCATATCTAAAATAACTGTTTGAAATAAATGCCCTATATCAAGAGAATAGTAAGAGGTACTCTTCGGTTTCCAGAATTACTGATGAAGGAATCTAAAGATAGGTTTTTTAAGTTTTTTTTTTTTTTTTTTTTTGCTATAGGGTTCATCCACTCACTGAAGAGACAGACAGAGGCAGGAAAGGAGAAATCATCCCCTCCCCTCCACTGGGGGAGATGGTCACACTGCAAATCCTCCTCCATTCTCCTCTTGTGATTCTGGGCTTGCATGTGCACACGCGCATACACACTCGTTGTGAATTTTAAACCTTCGGGTCTGGGAACTTGAAACAGTCAGCCATATGGTAGTCCAGCACCTTAACCACTACATCACCTGCTGGCCCAAGGTAGGTACCAGTTTTAAAAAATTAAGAAATAGCATACATGGGGCTGACAGGTGGCGTGATGGTTAAGGGCACTGGACTCCCACATGGCTGACAGTGGTTTGAGTCCTAGAGCTGGTGGTTGCTTTCTTACTTTCTCTCTCTCTATGGCCCTCTCTGATCAAATTAAAATAAATAAATAAAATAAAGTTAAATAAAAAATCATTCTTTTAAAAAATAATTTAAGAAAGAGAAATAGCCTACAGTAGTAGAAAAATAATGGGCTTTGGAGTTATAAGGCCTTCGATTAAACTACCACGTATCTAGTTAGACATCTTTTGTCTTGGGTGCTGTGATTGGTCCTGGTCATGCAATAATAAAAGATAATATCCTTATCCTCTAAAGAAAATGACACTTTGGGGGTAAGGCAGACATGTAAACAGCAACTTCACTAGACCATTATCGGTGCTATCTCGCTGTCACCTACCAGCTTCCTCGAGAACGACTTCCTTAGCCTCCCTGGACCTCACTCCTTTTTCTTACTTACAAGCTGGCCATAATACACTTCCCTTCTGGGACTATGGTGGAAATTAGACAAAGTAACATTTATGAAGCACAAGACACAAGCGTAGGTCAACTAACTGTAGCTGTCATTGATCTTTTGAACAAGTAATCTTTTTTAAAAAGAGGTAGGTAAGGTTGCCAGGCATTGTCATCTGACCTACACAGCGAGAACAGAGCTGACTCTCAGTTCCTCCGGGTGATGTGAGTTAGTGCGCCACTCACATGAGAAAACATTATGTAAGTGCTAACCTCGAAGAACTCGAAACGACAAATAAGGTCAATGTGTTGCACAAGGAAGCAAAAGTAAAACGACTATATCCTCAATCAACAGTGAAGTCTCCAGAAATCCTATCCCCGACCCCGAAGATTTCATATGTGCATTCAACGTTGGCTCGAGCGCCTCATAGTTTATCTCCCCCAGCTCTAAACCTCAAACTTTTCTTCACACATCTTGACATTTTAAACAGAAAATAATTTGCGCTGACTTCGGAAAGCTAAGAAATAGATCACATTTACCTGATAAAACAGAACTGTAAATTTGGACATGCAGTCTTCACAACAGAACTCTTCTAACTTGCCCTCCAATCGATTTTCTACCAAATTCGGGGACGTCTGTGAACAATAACTACACATCTTACAGTAGTTTCCCCATCGTTCTCCAAAGTCCCGGGCAGAGAGGAATTTACAAACTGACAACAGAAGAAGGAATTAAAGGCAGAAACATCAAATTTACACTAACTTAAGGTAAAGTGAGTTTCTTTGGTCTTAGATACAAACTTTAAGCCCACTGCTGAATATCTGACACAACTATTTGCCTCGAGATTAAAAGACAGTCTCCATATCCACAAGACAACTCTTATCTCTCTTTTTTTAATTATTATTTATTTAATTCCATTTGTTTTTTTTTTTTTTAATTTGACCAGAGAGAGACAGAGAGAGAAAGGGAAAGGAAGAAAGCAAGCTGTCAGGTCGGAGACCTGGCCATGTGGGAATCCAGTGCCTTTAACCACCACACACCTGCCAGCCCCTCTTATCACCTTTTAAATATACACTAAAAACATTAGGCCACTGGGACCAGCAGGTGGCATGGTGGTTAAGGCGCTGGACACTCCCACATGGCCGACCAGGGTTCAAGTCCTGAATCTGGTGGCTTGCTTTCTCACTTCCTCTCTCTCTCTCTCACTCTCACCCTCTATCTCTGGTCAAATTTAAAAATAAATGAATGAATGAATAAATAAATAAATAAATAAAATAATTATAAAAAAAAAAAAACATTAGGCCATTTATATTCAGAAAGATCAGGTATAAGCTTCTTAAGCCAAGAAGCAGTAACTGCTGAAAGTTCTCTACAAATGAATGCAAGCACAGAAGTGCCACTGCGAGACTGATGGAGAGATTCCCATACACCACCGATCTAGTTACATTCTGATCGTTTTTCTTTATCGAGATTAACGCAGCGTTCAAAAAGATAAACTCTACAGTCAACTAAGTAGGATCTCAATTTAAAAGCCTGAAATTATACCTCATAAGAGAAAAATTACTTGCAAATTAATTGTGGACGAATCACCCAACTGGGTCAAGGACTACAGCCCCACATTGTGTGGGTCGGACTGGTTTTCTTCTTTACCTTCACTACAGAATGGCTTATCCACCCCTGAGAAGCGCACAGTCTCCTTTATAATTTTCTGCAGTTTACAATAGTCGCACATTGCCACAACTTTATTTTTCTTTTTGTATTCATCAGAGCAAGTCTTGCCACAAAACAGGAACATTCTGCCCTGCAGAAAAATAAATCAGTGAGATCTAATTTAACAACTGCTTTACCTTTAAAAAAACCCCCTTTCCTTCTCACTTCAGCGTAAAGTGAGTAACTGTCAAAGATGAAAGGAATGCTTCCATTGGTCGAGCTTAGAGTCAGTCCCTTTCGTGAGCTCTCTTTACCTTGTAGAAAAGCAGTTCTGGCTTTGTGGCAAACAGATGGTTACAGTGCTGACACCGGAGCTTCACGACCGTGTGGGTCAGAGCGACTTGCTGGGACTGCTCAGTCAGAGGCTGGGGAATGGCTGCAGCGGGGCCGCTGACAGAGCGGGGGCCGACCGCAGAGGTGTCACCCACTCCTGCCCGCGCTGCTGGCCCTGAGGGTGGGCTTACAACCACACGGCCCTGATTCGGGGGCACTGCAGAAGAGTTTGTTCCTTTTGGCTTGTTGAATACATTCTGGGCAAACACAAATAAGGCAAAAATTGTATCATTTGAGAAATAACATAACTTAGTAATTTTTCTTTCTAAATTTTAATAAATCACTTCCTCCGTAGACTTTTTCAAAATATTTTATCTGGAGCCAGCCAGCAGATGGCACAATGGCTATGTTGCTGGACTCCTACATATCCATCGCAGTTCAAGCTCCAGTCCCAGTGGCTTAAAACTCATGTTGGGCACATATGTGCATGTGCCCAAAGTCCCAAGAGGAGAATGGAGGAGAAGGGATTGTGACATGGCCATCCTCCCGGGTGTGTGTGTGTAGGTTCTCGCTTTCTGTCTCTCTGGCAAGCACACAAGCCCTATAGCAAAAAATCTCTTTACAAAAACAAACAAAATGATCTCACAAAGTTTAAATGGCATAACTGTAGAATAAAGACTGAGAAATGCAATATTAAGAGGTCAAGGACTGGGATTCAGGTTTTCCAGACAAAGCTCTTGAGCACATACTGCTAATACATTAGAGCAGGCCCCTCTGTGCCCCAAGGTGTCCTTCCACCTCTCATCACCAGCACCGAGGGCTGTGAAGACACATCAGGAGGCAGGAGACATCTGACCCGAATGAGAGGAGGGGCACACAAGCCCCACCTGCTGCTTCACCAAACCACCTACGCAAGCCATGTGCTACTGGGTCGCCGGGGACGTCATGACGCACTTGGCATAGAAAATCATGGAAAGTGTGTCATGATTTTCCCGATGACCCAACAGCTTCCACCTTTTGAAAAGGAAGAGAAGCCAGGGAGACAGTGGGAGGGAAAGGCAGTTGAGGGAGGACCCTGAATGAGAAAGTAAGTGCTGAGGCCCAACCTCTGAGCTCACGCGTTCAGTAGAAAGAACTTCTGGGACACTGGTAGAACAGAACTTTTTAACTTAAATCTACAGTTGTTAAGTATGGACCTTCAGCAGTTAACCATTTGTCACAGATCAATGCCTATGAGAATTGCAGGGATGAAACACTACCTTAGACCATACCTGGAAAGCCACCACACAACCGGAGCTACAGAAGCTATAGATAGCTCCATTCGACATGGCGAGGTGATACTGAGGGGTTGCTGAGGTCTTACAGCTGTGACACGAAACCTGAACACCTTGGTGACAAAAACAAGAACCAAAGACTAAGTTATACAAGTGAACAAATGAGCCAAAAATATATTAAGAGAATGGGAAAAAAAAACTAATAGTAATATACCCCCAAAATCAAGAAATTTTAAAGTAATCTGTAGACCTAACTACACCTAACTTCATTTAAATTCCACTTACACAAAAACTTACAACTTATAAGCACTTTTTCTTTCTTCTCACATATGAAACTATTAAATACACAGTGACCAAGAAAATCAGTGAAAAATTATCTTCAAAATATCAGTCTTTTAAAAGCAAATCAATCTTTAACACCATATAAATATAGTTTGTAACAGTGTGAAAGAAAAAGTTACTTTCTTATATAGCTTCTAAATCCATAAATTCATCAAACTTAAAATTACCTGAAGAAATAACAGTCTTAACTCTGTAAGCAGATAAGCAATTAATAGAGCAGAAAAGCTCTGTCTTTCCTGAGTCATTCGTAGTCTCGATCATTTCAGCTGAGGGCCTCAAAGATTTCCCCAGAGCATAAGGAGGTGTTTGGGCTGAATTCTATTAAGAAAATAAAATGACACTTAGATGCCTAGTGAGCATACTTATTTACATATTGTTCAAAATGGAGAAAGAAGCTACCTGCAAGCACTGCCTTGGCTGAGATATTTGAGTATAACAATGAGGCCGTACTACCAGACTTGCCAAGTTGGGGTGGGGAAAACACAAGCTGTCTGGTGTCACTGCTGAAGTGATGAGTAGTAACATAGAGTGAAAGGAACAGTAACTACTTGGTATCTCAGAAACAGCACCACATGTCAGGAGCGGTGAATCCAGTCATGGTGACATGCTTTTCCTATCACAAATAGCCATGTACCAAACGAGAACATCAAATCAGGAGCGACCACCATCTTGGAGGTGGTGTGACCCGTAAGACTCTCAAGCAGGAGACGGCAATGAGGTGACAGCACGTTAGGAGAAACCTACAGAGTGACCCGGTTTTCAAGCAGGGGTTCACAAAAAAATTTGCCTGTGCAGTTTCACTACATAATCTTCCTAGTAAAAGCGGAACATTGTGTATGCAACTGGTAGAGTACAGTATCGTCACAAAATGGGGAGGGAGCTGGTCTCTGGATCACGTATAGAACAGGATGGATCTCACAAAAATGGCAGCATCTCTGACCGAACTAACACACGATCTAGTCATGCTTCGAAAAACCATTTTGTACGCTGTATAGATGCACACTAATTAAATGTAAATAAAGCATATATGATAAAGAAGGCTTAAAATAACATGGATTTCCCCCGTGAAAATAGGAACAAGACCACCAAAGTGGTCGTTCCTGGAAGAGAGACTCTCATGATGCATGTCCTCTACCAGCTGCTCAGACGCATTAACAAATCAAACTTTACAACGGAAAAACGTTTTGACTATCATTACGTACTTTTAAAAACCCAATTATTGGGACCAGCAGTTAGCGTAATGGCTATGTTGCTGGACTCCCATGCAGTCGACCGTGGTTCGAGTGCCGGACCTGGTGGCTTAAACATACCAGGTGCGTGTGGGTGCATGTCCAAGATCCCGAGAGGAGGATGGAAGAAAAGGGATTGCGGCGTGGTCATCCCCACTGGGGGGTGATTTTTCGCTTTCTGGCTTTCTGTCTGTCTCTCTCTGTCTGTCTGGTGAGTGCACACACCCTATAGCAAAAACCTCTCAAAAAAAACAAACAAACAAAAACAATTATTTATCAATAATTAAAATGACACAAAGTGATAGAATAGTAACCAGATCGACCTATTATTATTCACTACCATAAAATCAGGTATTCTAATAGGACAATGCTGCCAAAATAATTATTTGTTCTAAAACATATTAAAATGAAAAAGATATGCTTCCTTTAAGTTTGCTGATTTTATCATATTTTAACTCTCACTGGCAGTTTTTTGATGACATATTTTTCATCATTGTCAATATTTAACAAAACATTTCAAGGGACCAGCAGATGGCATAATGGCTATGTCACCGGACTCCCATGTAGTCGACCGTGGTTCGAGTCCCAGACTCGATGGCTTAAACTCATGCCAGGCACGTGTGCATGCATGCCCAAGATCCCGAGAGGAGAATGGAAGAGAAGGGATTGCAGCGGATTTCTCGCTTTCTCTCTCTCTGTCTCACTCTCTCTGGCGAGCACACACGCCCTATAGCAAAAACCTCTCCAAAAAAAACATTTCACACAACAATCGTGTTATTTATGAATCCTGAGCCACACGGGAACCTTAACAAGGAACTGAGTTCTGCCACAATCATGCCCTCCAGTGGCAGATCCGTCCCATTTTCCGGGAGAGGAAATCGCACACCAGAATGAACGGAGGGAAGGAGCTCTCTCTCTCACTGTGCAGTTCATCCCCATGAAGCCGACGCAGAAACAGTGAGCCCCCCGCAGCCCAGACTCGTGTTGTACCTGCTTGTACGCCGTGACGCTCGTTGAACTGAACACCTTCTGGGACTGGCAAGGACCAGAGCTGCTATAGCAGTAGCTCCCGCAGTTCTCACAGCACTTCATGGCAAGGTTGTTGGCGGAATGAAATTTGGAAAAACAGGCATCACTACAAAGACCATGCACCACATTCTGGTACTTAACTTCAAACCGGATCTGGAAAATGAGCACACATACAAAATAAGCAGAGCTGCTTTTAAAAAAATCCAGGGGTCAGCAGGTGGTGTGGTGGTTGAAGGCACTGGACTTCCATATGGCTGACCGCGATTCGAGTCTTGGACCTGGTGGCTTACTTTCCTCTTTCTCCCTTTCTGGTCAAATTGAAAGAAAGAAAAGCAGAGAGAGAGAGAGAGAAAGACAAAACAACAGACAGAAAGAAATAAAAGAGAGAGAGAGAAATAAAAATGAAATAATTCTTTTTTTTTTTTTTGGAGAGGTTTTTAGCATGCGCTCGCCAGACAGACAGAGAGTGACATAGAGACAGAAAGCGAGAAATCACCCCCCAGGGGGGATGGTCACGCCGCAATCCCTTCTCCTCCATTCTCCTCTCGGGATCTTGGGCACGCATGCACACGCACCCGGCGTGAGTTTTAAGCCACCAGGTCCGGGACACGAACCGCGGTCAACTACATGCGAGTCCAGCGACATAGCCATTACGCTAACTGCTGGTTCCCAAAATAATTCTTAAAATAAAATCTGCTGGTTGGGCAGACGCATGCGCATGATAAGGGTAAACTGTTACTTACGTCCGCGTTCTTCTGACACACACTGCACCGGGTGGCAGGGCTGTTGGTGTAGATGGTGACAACAGGCTTCTTCTTTAGCTCATAAGAAGATAAGCATGATTGGCTGCAGAATTCTTTGCCAGGAGAAGAATTTTCAAACCGAGTTGTGATCACATTCTTTGGATTTAAAATGTCTCTAAAAATAAATAACAAAGAAAAAATGAAATGCGTTTTTCACAACCACAACCTCATCTTGGTGAGCTAAAAATAACACGTACTAGGGTTGGCCACTGTACGTCAGAAAAAGGCCCCACACAAGGCGTTGGAAAAGCTGGGGGCTCATCAGTTCAGTTACTCGTCAGCTGAGTGATGACGATGCGGCAGTGACGGTTTCAGTCTCCTCACATGTAAAACGGGGCTCCCCCTCACACACAGCCGTGTCAAGGGAAAGCTGTTTTAAATACAGCGAGCCTGGTGCTCATGCCAAACTGTGAGATTCCCAGCTCCAACCAAGCCTCGCCCACTGGTGCCAACAGAACTAGACTAGGGGGCCACCCACAATTCCAGACCTCAAGATGCTTCTCTTCCGAGCCAGCAGCCGCCGAGGGGAGAGAGGCCAGCCGACACACCACCAACTGCACAGTCCCCGCCGCTGCAGCCCCACAGGAGGGTCCTGGATGTGTCCCAAGGGCGGAGGGAGGGTGAACATGTGCCCATGACCGTGACCAGCTGAGGCTGGACATGGGTCACAGCACGAGGACTCAGCTGGGAGTGCCTGTCCCTCTCTCTCACTCACAGAATAAAAGGAATGTAAAACAGAGGCAAGAGGGCCAGCCAAGTAGCATGGTGGTTAAGGGAGCTGGATCTCACATAACCAACTATGTGGTTCAAGTCCTAGACCCAACAGCCTGAAAACATACAGGACACATGTACACACGTGTCTCAAATCCCGAGAGGAGAATGGAAAAGGGACTGTAGCATGGTCGCCTCCCTGGGGGATGCTTTCTCATCCCACCCCACCCTTGTCTGTTTAGGGCCAGGGCATGTACCCTACAGCAAAATAATAATAGTAGTAGTAGTAGAAAAATTTCATTTAAAAAGAGACAAAAAATTTCTAAAAATTAAAAATGTGGGGAACCAGCAGTTAGCGTAATGGCTATGTCGCTGGACTCCCACATAGTCAACCGCAGTTCGTGTCCCGGACCCGGTGGCTTAAAACTCACGCCGGGCGCGTGTGCGTGCGTGCCCAAGATCCCAAGAGGAGAATGGAGAAGGGATTGCGGCGTGACCATCCCCCCTGGGGGGTGATTTCTCGCTTTCTGTCTCTATGTCTCTCTCTGTCTGTCTGGCGAGCGCACGCGCCCTGTAGCAAAAACCTCTCCAAAAAAAAAAAAAATTAAAAATGTGAAATTTTGGGAAACAGGAACCTTCGAAGATTAACATAAAAAATTAACACAAGGGGCCAGCAAGTAGCATGGTGGTTAAGGGCGCTGGACTCCCACATGGCCGACCACGGTTCAAGTCTTGGACCTGGTGGCTTGCTTTCTCACTTCCTCTCTGTCTCTCTCTGATCAAACTGGAAAATAACAATAATAATAATAAAGTTAAATAAACTAATTCCTAAAAAAAATTAGCACGATACACAAAACAGCTGTGACCGAAAAGATCAAAGGAAAGATGACGAAAGGACTGTTAAGGCTTTTTATGAGAGAACAGACGGAAACAGGAACAAAACAGAAAGGACAAAAATCGAGTTCTGTGAGACTCCTAGACCTATTTAAGAGCTAATTACTGCAATAAACAGAGACAACAATACCCTAGTGAAAACAGGCTGGGAACCAGCAGACGGTAAAACAGTTACATCACTGGGTTCCCACATGGCTGACCTGGGTTTGAGTCCTAGACCCGGAGGCTTGAAATTCAAGCTGAGCACGTGTGCATGCGTGCCCAAAATCCCAAGAGGAGAATGGAGGAGAAGGGACCATGGAGTGGCCATTCCTCCGGGAGGGTACTCTCTTGCTTTCTGTCTCTCTGGCAAACGCCTGTGCCCTGTAGCAAAAATCTCTCCTCCCCCCAAAAAAGAGGCTAAATATTGCCTTTCTTCTAACAAGTATAAAAACTGGAGGAGGACGCGGTGGTGCCGGCTCTATGGCAAAAAACAATGGAGGCTGGAGGACTTCAGGATCAAATCCGTATCTCTCTCTTTCTCTCGCTCTCTGTCTCTCTCAACGCACACCATTCTGGGGAGCCAGCAGGTGGTGTGGTGGTTAGGGGCACTGGACTCCCCGTGGTTCAAGTCCCAGACCTGGCAGCTTGCTTTCTCACTACCACCCCCACCACTCTGTCCCTTCCTGGTCAAATTAAAGTAAATAAATAAATAAAGTTAAATAAAACAATTCTTTAAAAAAAAAAAAGACTGGAGGAAATAGTCATTAATAGAAACACTAGTACAGGCCACAGAGTAAATAATGGTTGGGCTAGCCGGTACCATGGAGGTTAAGGCAACTGGATCTCAGATAGCCAACTGCGCAGTTCAAGTCCTGGACCTGGTGGCTTGAAAAACATGCTGACACTTGTGCATGTGTGCCCAAGATCCCAAGAGAACGGAAAAGGGATCGTAGAGTGACCACGATAGGGGCTGGCAGTGGGGTGCTTTCTCACTCTGTCTCTCTCTGGCAAACATACACGCTCTATAGCAAATTATTTAAAAAAAAAACGGGGGGGGGACAAGTAGTTAGCGTAATGGCTATGTCGCTGGACTCCCCCGTAGTAGACCATGGTTTGCGTCCCGGACTTGGTGGCTTAAAACTCACTCCGGACGCGTGTGCGTGCGTGCCCAGGATCCCGAGAGGAGAATGGAGAAGGGATTGCAGCGTGGCCATCCCTCTGGGGGGTGATTTCTTGCTTTCTGTCTGTCTCTCTCTGTCTGTGTCTGTCTGGCGAGCGCACATGCCCTATAGCAAAAACCTCTTAAAAAAAAAAAAAACAATAGAGATAGAGTAACAATGGTAATAAAAAAAGAAGAATGGTAATAACAATATGCACTACAATTAAGTGCAGAGTTATTGCTATGTGCCAGGCATTGTTATCTTACTCAAGTGATTTAATTTAAATATCGCAAAAACACTAGGAGGTAAATATTATAACGGCCATTTTACAAATGAGAAGACTGAGTCAGAGGTCACACAGCCTGTCAAGGTCATGCTGCTAGTAAGCAGTGAAGCCAGGATACAAACCCAGACAGTCCGATCCTCGAGCCGAAGATGCCCTCTCTCCACTCTCCTGACTCCTACCTGGACCTCCACTACATAGGGCTGCTCCTCGATAAGCCATGAAGGAATAACAACAAAAATTACTTTAATTTTTGAATACTTATCTAACCTTAAAAATATGGCAGAGTATCTTAGAAACTAAGTTAGTACGCTTATATACAGAAGTATTTATTTTGAAATACTAAACACAGAGCAATAAAAATTTTTTTTAAATAATTATTTTATTTATTTATTCATCTATTTCAATTTGATCAGAGAGGGACAGAGTGAGTGAGAGAAACTGAAAAGACAAGCCACCAGGTCCAGGACGTAAGCCCTGGTCAGCCATGTGGGAGTCCAGTGCCCTTAACCACCACGCCACTTGCCAGCCAAGAGCAGTACAGAATTTTATTTACTAAAATTTTATTTGCCAGTGATGTAACATGTAACTTAAGGAAACCAATGGAAAAGACGCTGTAATGAAGATGTGTGCACATAAATATGAATGTACCCCAAACGTACGCTTCCAGGCGAGGTGACTATACTAACGTTGGGAAGCCACGCCTCTTTTAACAAGAACATGGCTCGAACATACTTTTTTCTAATTTCTCTTTTTAATCTGTAAGTACACTAAGAACAAGGCCACCCCTACAGTCTAGTGGTTAAGAAAGCTGGATCTTGGGGCCGGCAGGTGGTGTGGTGGTTAAGGCGCTAGACTCCCATGTGGCCAACTGCAGTTCAAGTCTCAGACTGGCAGTTTGCTTTTTCACTCTCTTCCTCTCTCTCTCTCTTTCTCTCTCACTCTCTCTTTCTCTCTCACTCTCTCTCTGGTCAAACTAAAGAGTAATAGTAATAAGTAAAATTAAATAAATGTTAAAAAAAAAAAAAAAGAAAGAAAAGAAAGAAAAGGGGCCAGCAAGGTAGCATGGTGGTTAAGGGCACTGGACTCCCACATGGCCAACTATGGTTTGAGTCCTGGACCTGGCGGCTTGCTTTCTCACCTTCTCTCTCTCTCTAGCTCTTTCTGATCCTCTCTGATCAAATATAAATAAATAAATAAAGTTAAAATAAAATAACTTTTTTAAATTAAAATAAATAGTTAAATAGAGACTAGCAGGTGGTATGGTGGTTGGGTCACTGGACACTCCCACACGGCCAGCCACGGTTCGAGTCCCAGACCTGGTGGCCTGCTTTCTCACGTTCTCTCTGTCTCTCTCTCTGGTCAAATTAGAAAAAAAAAAAAGAAAAAAAGAAAATTAATGAATTAATTAATGAATAAATAAAATTTAAAAAAATAGTTAAACTAAATAACTCTTTAAAAGAAAAGAGGGACCAGCAGTTAATGTAATGGCTATGTCGCTGGACTTCCATGTAGTCGACCACGGTTCGAG